GAGAGACAGAGAGACAGAGAGAGACAGAGACTCGACGGGCCGCTGCACACTGCACACTGCACGAAATATCGTCTCGTCTCGGTTTTCCGGTGCGTGCTGCTGCTTGCCCTGAACCTGAACCTGCATATTCGTTGTGCATCCAGGGCTAAATAACCCAGGTCAAATCAGAGGCTTCCCAGCAGCTGCAGCTTGTCGTGGCGGGTTCTCCCAGGCCCAGAATTATTTCTTGATTTCAAGAAGTCAACACCTTGATAACCTGCAGTCCCTTGTCTGTGGAGAAGGAGGAGAGGGAACTTCTGCCAGCGCAGCCAACCAACCAACCAACCTGCCAACCTTGGGGTCGCATTGGTATCAAAAGCCCAACGTGGAGCCAGTCCCAGTCCCAGGGCCAGGATAACGGGTTTTGCGGGTGCCTAGAGGCTAGAGCTGGAGGGGCCCCTCCCCCCGGAACCCCCTACGCCGTCCCCCCTCGGCCCCCTACACTGGCACGACTGGCACCGGAATCCCAGGCTAGCCCTGGCGAGGCCACTCCCGGCCCCGGAATCCTGCATATCATATCTGTTAAGGCGCGACCCTGCCGCAGTCCCCGGACACCGCATTATCCTGGGGATAATCTCACCTGGCAAGTCCCGGGCCATCGTATCCCAATAACACATCATCCATCCCAGTCTCACCAGGGCAGAAAGAGCCCTGTCGCTGCTCGGTTTTACGTCTACGTCTACGTCTAGTGTAGTTGACTTAGCGTAGGTGCACTGTACGTTCTGAACAGGCCCTTGTCCACTGTCTGTTGCCCACTAACCGGTCGGGAGCAGCCAGTGGTCCAGTGGTCCAGTGCTCCGGCCCCATCTCTAGGTACTCTAGGACTGAGTCTCCAGGAGGAGCAAGAGCAAGAGCACGAGCCCAGCCGCAGCCCCCCGACCCGAAATCCGATTAATCACAAATCCAACGAAATTGCGAGCGACCGACCGTTTTTGCTTGCTTGCAAAGCAGCCCCAAAGTCCGATTATTATCGAACTGCAAGGCCCGAGAGAGCACAGCACAGCAGAGCAGAGCAGAGCCGTAAAGAAGAGAGGTAATACTCTAAACTCTGGTGGAATCGCGAACCACGACCACAAGAAAAGCAACAGTCAACACTCGTCGATATAAGTATCATTCCGCCCAAAAAAGTGGGAAGGCAACGACGCGCAACAGTCGACAAGCACTACACTAAACTTACCCAGTACCTTGGCCTTCCTTACTTAGTACACTCCCTCTCCTTCGACTACACTACACTACACTACAC